CCCCCCCGCAGTCTCCTTTCGATTTATTGAATTTGGTTTACCTCGTTTTCGCAATTTGGTCTTTATGTCAGGGCGACTTAGTAAAACGCAGCTTTGTCCGAAGTCCTCTGCTATAGTCTCTCTTTCACGTGTTGTAGCTTGGTGCTGAGAATGACAGGAATCAATAATGATGCCGATTACGATGCCGGCGAAACGTCTGAGAATGTATCAAGTCCACGGTCTGAGGCTTGGAATTATGATACTTACAATGGCAGAGGACTTTGGACGAGGTGTGTTCTACTAAGCCGCCCTGACAAGACCAAGTTGCGAAAACGAAGTCAGACCCCTTATCTTTTTGGATCTTGCAATTGCACTGCATGTGATTGTGTTCCGCTGCACCTGTGTTGTGGGCATACAATGCTTGTGAGACGCGTGAGGCTTGAGAATGAAAACCAAACTTGAGGCTAAGCAAGCCTTCTCATATTGCTCACTGCTACTTCTCGTTCCCCTCCGTCTCTCTCTCTCTAATCCTATCCAACATCCACAAGTCGTTTGCACATCACTTCCTACGCACATTCCTTCCATTCAGGATGTTGACTGTTTTTGTTGATTCCTATCGCCTTCCTTATATTCCGCTTGATGGTATAGTCCCTATATCCAGCTAAGCGTTTGACCTTATACCAGTCTATCCGGTGTCCCGTGCGAGCTGTGTTTGACCAATTCCGATCTTTAGACGCGGCCACTTCGCATGCCATACGCAGCCACGTAACGTAGCCTTTCAGCAAACATTTCAGCAAAGCATAGAACATTCAACGATAAGATAAGATGCACAATTAAATGGACCAAATTGGATATAAGAAGGTAGGCTTGAAGCCAGTCACCTTTCTTGCCTTCGCGCTCTGGTAAATTATCGTAAAGCATGGTGTCCTTCTCTGATGATGTTTATCACATGACGGCCGAAGGTTCAACAAAGATTTATCGGAGTCGCAGGGCGGTGCGCCGAGGACCTATTCGCACAGATTTACAATCACAGCTCCAAGGCAATTTCCCTTCAACTTCCGGTGAGCCCAACTTAAGAATCCCATCCACTCACCTCTTCAAACGAAATACAAAACACGCCAACATGAATTAGTTAAGGGATTTTTTGAAAACCAGTTATTCTAGTAATTAAGTCTGTTTTTAGACATTTCATCTTATCACAAATATCATTCAGTCTACCCCATTAGAATGAGATAAAATTTGTTCAGTTTAATCGTTAGGATAATTGGGCCAACCAGATAAAGGAACTGGACCCTTATAAAAGCGAATTAGCTTGTATGATAGTCTACCCCCTAATCTAAAAACCTTTTGACGACCAGAACTATGGAATACTAAAAGCTCTCACCCGGCCTTACAAAATATTTCTACAATTTTATTCGTGATTTAGCTTGTTCTCAAATACGGCGTGCCCCTGTTGCTGGTTGACCTGGGAGAACTAAGGGAACAGAAGCAAAATAAGGACATCCCTCTCAGAGCAAAGCCCATTAGATTAAGAAAAGAAAATCAAGCTGTAGTGGAAAGGATTCTTACGACTTCTCACAATCCCGAAAATATAACCTGTGATAATCAGCACATTCAAGGCTATTCAAACGATTGGCCACTAAAAAATGAACTGCGTAACACTGATAATAGATGCAGTATTCCAATCTGCTTGGCTCAATTCTTATCTAAAAGCGATTACAAGCCTGTATCACTTGAACTGCCGAGCACATGTATGCTCATGAGAACGGAAGAAAGTAACACTGACGAAGAGAATTGCAATACCCACAAGTTTCAGATACGGTCGGATCTGCCAAGTAGCCAGTTCTGCGCCTTTTGTCAAGTCAAGATGACGTCAGAACCCTCTGAGTCATGTTTCTGTAGCATTTGTTGCCAGCTCAGTAAGCAAGAAGATTGGTCTATGTCTTGCTCTCAGCAAAAGATTCCTGTTTACGGCAGAGATTCACAGCGCTGCTATCAAAAGCAACAAAGTATACATTACGATCAGAGCGCACAGCAGCATATACTCATAGGCCCCAGATCAGACTGTGCAAACTCAGCGGGTTTAAAGCCGGATGGAGGATTTAGTAGTGACGAAAGCAGCGTGAATCGAGCTAAGCTGGCTGTGACAGTAGGCGGAAAAGAATTCAAGCGCGAAACCAAACTTACCCCACAATTGTATACGTCCATGTCCCAAGCTCAAGACTTATTCACTAGCAAACAACGTGTTTTTACAAAGCCCTTAGTACATGCACCGATGATTCGTGGGCTGTATCCGTTCAGTGAGCATAGCTACCATACCTCGACAGTGGAAGACGGTGTTTTAGTGTCCTGTCATGACCCCGACCTGCCGTCCTCAGCCAGTTTTGCTGACGTAGTGTGTCAGGCCTGCGCCAAGGCAGGGACTGTCATGCTACAAACGGATCAGGCTAAAGGACTGGTCAACAGTTATGACTTAGAGATGGATGATTGGTCGAGCATTGCCGAGTCTATAAAAACCGGGGCGACACGCAGACCTACGGCGGCCATATGGCAAGGAGATAGAACAAATGTAAGCCAAGAAGCTTCACTACACTCTTCACTTGAGGCTGGTGTCTTTACCCTATGGCCACAGATGATCAGGGATTGTGAATTTGGTCCTATATGCAAAAGTTTACCAGGAGCTGAACTATATTCAAGTATGTTTATTGATTATGATTCACTAGAACCGAATGTATTTACATTTTTACAATTTTATAACTAACCAAGATCTCTTTCATGGGTCCACTGATAACTGGAAGATCGATTGAAACCAGGTCGGAAGCTATCATATAGTTTGAAAATAAATAAAAAGGATAGCTAGTTTTTAACCAGTCTATGTAAGCTTGGAGAATGACGACTAAAGTGCCAGAAAAATCTCACTATTTAGTGCTTAGTTTCATACTAAATCAAGCAGTCTAGACAATCAAGCAAAAGATCAATTGTATTAAATGTATTGATGAATTCTCGGCCCAATATGGGTCTTAAAATGCACCCAAGGGAACATTTCATATGTAATGCTTTTAGTACAAAAGACATGAAATCTTTCTTTGAAATGATTTAGCAGAACCAAAGGCGCCTAGCAAGCAA